ACCTAAACAACACCAAAAAGACAAGAAAAGTACGCCGAACCACAAAAACACAATACGTGAATAAAAATGCACGAAACACGATAAAATGGACCGGTTGACACTAAAACGAACCTAAAAACACTAAACTCAAGCACATAAAACACACGAAAATAAGCACAAAAACACAATAAACACGGCTCGCCATCGAGGATCGGCCACGACATCAACAAAAGTACGAGGCTCAACAGCGGAGGCGACAACAACAAAAAAAAGTCGATGAGCTGGAGAGAATGAATCACAAGAAACATAATGTGCTATGGGATAAGACGTACCGAAGGATAGAGATGATTGAGGAGAAGTAGTGGGGGGTACAGTCGAGAGTCTGACAGTGTCAACCACAAAATCCTTCAGCCGAGTGGAAGGAACCTTAGTCTGATGACCACGACCCAAGGGCTCCACCGGAAGAGTGGGAGGCGTAGTGGTAACAGAACCCCCCCCCCCCCCCCCCCTCGGTCATCAGATATGTCCATATCAGTAGCATAAAGACCCAGTATCAGGATAAGCATGAGGCAGAGAGACAACCTGAAGATCCTCATCCTCATCCGGCGCAGAAAAAACCGGCACAACAAAAGGCGGTGGCAAAGGATCTGGCTTAGACGAGTCTGATTGATATGGGAATTCAGTTTCAAGAAACTCCATAGTACGAGAGACAACGAACATCTGACGATCCAGATCATACAAACTCCACCCCTTTTTTTTCCAAAAGGATAACCAACAAATAGACAACGATGACTCCGAGACATAGCAAAAACACGCAAATGAGACAAGGAAGGAGACGAACCATAAAGAATCTCATATGGTGTTTTACCATGTAAAATTGAGGAAGGAGTCCGATTTATCAGATAGACCGCAGTCAAAACACAATGACCCCAAAAAGGAAGAGGTAGATGAGCCTAGAAACGCAAAGCACGAGCTACATTGAGAATATGCTGATGTTTACGTTCCACACGCCCATTCTGTTGAGGGGTGCCTACGCAAGAAGTTTCATGCAAAATCCCTTGACGACAAAAATAAGAGGCCAAACACATGAACTCGCTTCCATTATCACTACGAACAACACGCACCGATTTATCAAATTGTCGTTTAATCATAGAAAACAATTTAGCAGTGTGGAAGCAACCTCCGTCTTATCATTGAATAAATAAACCCATGTTCCACGAGAACAATCATCCACAATAGTGAGAAAATATCGTGCACCAGAGAAAGACGGAACACGATACGGACCCCACAAATCACAATGAATCAAATAAAAAGTCTCATGACTAACTGTCTGACTGAGAGGAAAACTGCGACGATGTTGTTTAGCATGAAAACAAGCATAACATGATTTATGCAAATTACGAGAACTAGAGTCAATAACAAGAACCTGGGACAATACTTGAGCAGACGGATGACCCAAATGTTGATGCCACACATCGACAGAAACTTTTCGAACACAAGAAACTGTTGTCGAAAGCATCCCTCGAAAGAAGTAGAGACCGACCAATTGCTTACCCGCTCCAATCACCTTCTGCGAAGTGCAGTCCTGAATAACACATAATTTGCTAGTAAACTGAGCGGTGCAGTCAGAACGATCCAACAATTGATATAATGAAATCAAGTTGCACCGAAGGCTGAGAACGTATAAAACATCAGAAAGAGTGATATGAGATCCTAGATAAACTGTCCCAGCCTTGCTAGCCATAGTCAAATAACCATTAGGCAATTGAACAGGACGGGCGGTAATATCCCGAACATCAGAAATAAACTCCAGGAACCCTGTCATATGATGAGTTGCCCCACAGTCGTACATCCAATCAAATAAATGACGCGTACCAGAAAAGGAGTTAAATTGTTCAGAGGAATTAACTAACGACACAAATTGAGACCATTGTTCATCACTAAGACCGCCAAGTGCAAGACGATCAGAATCACTCAAAGCTCCACTAGCAGTGGAAAAACTAACAGAACCTGCAACAAACGAATCACTGATACCACTGGAGAACGCCGCATTCGCAAGAGCACTACTCTCGCGACAAGCTCCACCATGGAGGCCACCGCCAGAATTACAACCGTGGTCACCACTAGAACCGAACCATTTCGGATATCTAATAATCTCAAAGCAAGTAGCGACAAGGTGACCCATTCAGCCACAATGAGAGCACTTGGGCCGACCACCGGTACGGTGCCCAACATATTCGATGCTACCAAGCGTGGCCGACGTCGATGAATTTTCCATGACAAAATAACTCAAAAAAGCAGCTACCGGGAACTATCGGATGCCGTGGACGGGGCCTTTGAACTATCTGATGTCGAGGACGGTGTCCTGTGCACAATCAATTAGCCTGTGCGCAATTGAGCCATTAATTGAGCAGATTCAACAACTGAACAATTATATAGGGTAGCCTGTGAGCAATTCAACAATTAATTGAGTGAATACACAAGCAATTGAGCAATTGGGAAAGTGAGCAGCGCTCTTTCGGAAATTGAGCTGAATACTTAGGCAATTAATTGAATGAATACACAGTTCCCAATTCAACAATTGATTAGCCTTTGTGGAATTATTTGAACAAAGGCATTTGAACAACAATTGAGGAATAATTGTGGCGGCTTGAATACACAATCTGCAAGAATAAAAATGTCGGAACTTGATACGCCAATATTGCCGAAACTTGGATGGCTTCGCAGAAAAAAAAAATTGAGGATCAGATTTGAAGAGAAAAATTCACGGTCTCTGATACTATGACACGAAAGAGACGAGACGAATTCGGGAAACTAATCATCTCAATTGGATGATACAACTCTATATAAACCACGAATATATACACAAAATCATAGCTACAGATAACCTAAGGCTAATACGGTAAATACACAAATATACACAATAACAGTAGAATGCCCCATGTACCGAGTCTAAGCATTTTCCTTGTAGTCGATTGCACGACCAACCACATATTCAAGTCGAGTTTGTAACAGGCCATCCGAGGGCCCTAGCTCGACCTGTCACTGCTTCCATGAACCTCTGATGTCTTCTTCGGCCCAAAGATTCCTTGTCTGCACTGACGCTCGACCTCTATTCGAACTGCTTACTACTCTGTTTGACAAACCCATCTGCTCGGTCTAGTCGGTTGGTTCGTTGGGTTTGTTCTATCTGGTGTGGTATCTCATATTAGACTTTGTGTGATATTATTTCTTGTTGTTTCTTGTCTTCGTTTTTATAGGTCATTTTCAAGATATGATTTTCGAACTGAATGTCAAAGAGAGAGATTGTAGGATTTTAGTTTTGGCAAGAAGCTCAAAAAATAATATTTCGATAATATTTGCAAGCAAGGAAAGTAAAATAATGTAAAAAGGGAAAAATATGCATTCTCTCTCTTATTAAAGAAAGTATAGATGCTATTATATTTAGTATGAAAAAGTTGTTCTTAAGTATATCTTAGATTTTATTTATGAGAAGTAGTTATTACCTTATCTTGTTTTAAATATTTGTAGAAGATCGTGTACTTAAGGAAAATAAAGAGCTGGCTGATCAAGATTGCAAGATGAAGATATCGGGTTCATCATTGGGAGATCTCAATCATGTCTTGAGAATCAAAGGAAGGAAGGAAATCGACTCCAAAAGAAAGGAAGATTGAAGGTTCCTTGCCCCTAAATCACGCCTCTTTCTCCCTATCTCTCTTCTTCTTCTCTCTCCCCCTCCCACTCTCTTCTTTTTCATAATCTCACCTCCTTACCTCTCTCTATCAACGATCCATTATCATCTGCCACTCTTTCTCTATTCTTTTTTTCTCTTGTGATCTGCGCAATTGTTTAAATCGGATGGATATTTGAAGCCCCAATGATGTACAACACAATAGGTTTGCAGACCCATCGGGGCTCCGGCCCTGAAGGCGAAGTCGTCACTTGTTCGAGCAAGGATTTCGATTCGGGCCAAGGGGTCGCGGGCGTGACCCGGGGGCCCTATAGGGGGATAGTGAAGGACGACCGCAAGCGGCAGATATATTGAAACTTTTGACTATGTTAAGTCTATGTTATGTATGTAACACGATTATGTTATGTATATGTGCATGAATGATATACGTAAATTATACCGAGATGCAACTCTGTAGTTGTTTTGAAGACTGTATATATGTGATGTTTACATATTAAGTATATAACACAATTACCTTATGTGCATGGATATCATACTTACAATATGACGGGTTTGCAACTTGTAGTTCTTTTCAAGACTGTATATGCGACGTTTATATATTGTATATATTTTCCAGCCTTAGTTCATAAGAAACGTTTGATTTCGACACATAAAAAAATCACATTAAACCAGAAATTTACTGTAAATATACATAAAAAAATGATATGCAAATAACACAAAAAGTAAAGGGGAAAAATCTTTTTCCCCCATAACAAAGACAAATTAAGTTTTTCACACCGCCCAATAAAAAGCTAAGTTTTTCACCCCAGAAAGTGCGAAGGTTATGCGAAAACTATCGCATATTCATTGCATAACTGTCCATATGCGAAGGTTATTCGAAAAACTGTCGCATAACTGTCACATATCAATTGCATGACTGTCGCATATTCATCGCACAATGCCTTCGCACAGTTATGCAATTGATATGCGACAGTTATGCGACAGTTTTTCGCATAACCTTCGTATATGGACAGTTATGCGATGAATATGCGACAGTTTTTGCATAACATTCGCACAGTTATGCAATTGATATGCGACAGTTATGCGACAGTTTTTCGCATAACCTTCGCACTTTTCGGGGTGAAAAACTTAGCTTTTTATTGGACGATGTGAAAAACTTAACAAGACTTCAAAACAGGGTGAAAGTAGATATTTTCACAAAAGTAAACAAAGAACATAGTTTCAGAAAAAAATACCGAGTTTATTTCATATATTTCACATTAAACTAGAAAATATCCAGTAAATATACAGAAAAAAATATGTTAATAACACAAAAAGTAAGTAAAAAAGTGTTTCGAAAACAAAAATTACCAGGTATAACTCGTATATTTTACGAGCTTATACCATCAAGATAGAATGATATTCCTGATCGTGTTGCTTTTTGTATCGTTAGCGGATGATAAAGTTTGAAATTCAAAATTTATATATTTAAATTTTGAATTGAACAACATCCTAAATATTAGAATATATACACTTACCATATCTTTTATATTTTTTTTAATGCGGAAAATTGAAATCTCATTATGTCCGCAAATTAAGGAGGGATGATAATTTTTTTTTTTTTTTGGTACAGAAACTTTCCGGTTTCCGGATCCACAGAGAAACCGATTAATTCGGAATCGAGCCGGGTAGAATCACAAAGGCGGCAAAGCTCTCACTCAAAAGTTTTAATTTTTGTAATCGATATATTGCATTATCAGAAATAAATGCCATGAATTTGATAATGATGCAATAAAAATTTATCCCCTCGTTTGATTGCAATTAAATTCAATATTTCGACTGGATAACATTCACAACAGTCTCTAGTAATTATTCTCTTTTTGACTACATGTTGAACTCGGGATAAACCTACACTCAACATTTCCCCCCCTAATATTTTTTTTACTTGCTAAAGACAAAAAATGTATCCACGTGTATCCACGTGTTTGATTAGTGTAATTCATTTATATTAGCTATTAATCACGAAAGGTGATTAATTAGTGTACCACGTTTAGACTTACTTTATCCATAAGGCTATGACATACATTGAATGTCAAAATCATATCCCAAGTTATAAATATTCAATTGGATTACAATCACAATAGTATCTAGTAATTATTGTCTCTTTTTGACCGCATGTCGGACTATGGATAAAACTAAACTCAACATTTATAACCTAAAGTTTTCTTTTACCAATTTGAATTTTTTGGCAAAAACTTATCCACATGTTCTATCTATATTCTGTTCATTCTGACGCACCTTGCTAAGTGTGCCAAGGTTTTTGTGTAATACAATCCCTAAAAAAGCGCGTGAGATAAGGTTTTTTTTTTTTTAATGGAACATGTGTCTCATTTATATTGGATAATGAATTTTATATATCATATTATATAAATTAAATTATCATTCATATTTTATATTAAAAAATAAAAATAAATATACTAAATTTCATAATTTTTCATTCTCTACAAATAGAGATCACATTTGATAGGTTTTAGAACACAATTAATTTATCACTTTTCACAATTAATTTATCTTATTAGAAGATGAAGACGCAAATCCATAATAAGGTGAACATGTTCATAGTGAGGAACGTGTTATAGAATAAGATGAAAATGTTACATATTTACACAATAAGATGAACATGTTATAAAATAAGATGAATATGTTAGAGATGAACATGTTATAAAATAAGATGAACATGTATTACTTCATTCTGC